GCTGCAAGGCACAAAGACATGTTTCATTACTTGACTACAGGTCACTGTCAGGGTGACCTTTGGCCATATCACTTATGGGGTCATATCTTAATTTGAAAAATGGGTTGACACTGGCTGAGCTTTTGAAAAATTGTTAGCTCAGTGACTGGGTTGGTGAAAAATATCTACAATATAACTCTCTCTCTTGGGAAACAAACCAACAAAAAAAATCCAACCCTAATTGACTTGAAGAAACATTTTACTGAGCTCCTGCCTATTAGATGGATTTTCTAGTCCAATCACAGCAAAAAAATGACTTCAAAATGCTGGAGAGAGTCAATGAATAATTTAATGGCAGAGAAACTAGTGAAAAACATTAAGGCAGTCATGCCTGTCTCTTGGGAAATGTTATATGCAGCGGAGAGCCTGGCAGAGCAGAGTTTCACAGACCTGATCTTCTATAGGGAGACATACTGGGCTATTCTCACTTTCGCAGGGACTGGGTAGCTGAGCAGCAAGTTGCTACTGCCAGCTCTTCCTGCAGATGCTCTTTGCTGCATCTGAAAGCATCAGGGCCTGTGAACTGTATGTAACAGTAGCATTGTCAATATTCTTTCTAATTATTACACTATAAGAAAATACAACCAGTTATGGACATTGGTTACATACCCTTTCACCTCCCTGACTTCTCTTCATAACCTTTCCTGTTCCTATGTTCCCCACGCATAATTCTGAGGAAAGCTCTGCATTAGTTTCTCCTCTCTCTCCCTCTTTCTCCTCCCTCCCTTCCTTCTTTCTCCTCCTCCTCCTCCAAAGATTTCTTAATCTATTACTCTTTCAATTTATTTTTACAACAAAATCATCCGCTCTAACCCTCATTTGCCTATCACTACACCCATAGGAAAAGCTATTTCCTCCTCTCTGTGAGTAAGGAAACATTCTCTTTATGTCCTGCTCTGTCATTCGTCTTTTGCCACAGGGTAAGGAGATACTAGCTCAAGTCACATCTCTGTCTGACCCCAGCCAACCTATCCTTCCACGGGAGTTTTCTTCTTGCCTAGCACTCTGAGAAGCAGATCCAGGTGACTATTGTAAACCTTTTTGGTTTTCCCTTCAAAAAAGTACACCTAACTCTATGTATTTGAAAATACGATTGTATTATTAGCTTGGGCTACTTAGGCAGGTTGCATTCCACAAAACATATGCCAGTTGTTCTTCAGGCTAAATTCTGTTCCTATTTGTAGCGTAGTGAGTGTGGGTTTTATGCACACTTTCACCAGCTCCTTAACGACACGAGTTATTTTGCTGTCTGTTCCTGGAGAAAGAAAAACAAAAAGGAACTGAGATAAGACAATCAACAAAAATACTATGTACCAGAGATTTCTTTGCTGACACCTGTAGTTTGCTGCCATCTCCAGCTTTTGTAAAGGAGCCTATGCTTGAGTAAACTGCTTACTCTACACAAACTGCCTTCCATTTCTACATGATAGACTGATATTTGAAGTCAAAGCTCCTTCTGGCAGTTAAGGCTCGCAAATTCCGAATTGTTCTATTCCACAATGTGCGTTCACTTGACTTAACAGGAAAACCTTGGTTAGTGAACAAGCAAAGTGGTAAGAATGTCATGTCAAAACCTCCTTTGGCTTTTGAAACACATACAAGCCATGGCAGAACAGCTGAGTTTTAGACGGTGACCTCATTGCATTTGCAAGAGACACTTGTGAGAGTTAAAAAAAAAAAAACAAAACTGATCTGAAAAAAACATCTAGCCAGCTAATATTATCCCTATCAGAAAAAGTGAGGGACTTTTTTTGTAGTTGCATCTAATATGCCTAAAAGAAGAACAAAAGTTAAGCCCTGGTGCCCTCACATAAGTAGTTCTTTCAGATATAGGACATTAAAATGTGCTCCCTTGATTATCTTTTCTCTTTTTCCCAAGAGAATACACACACAAATAAACACATGCTATTTCAAAATCCTGTAGGTTCCTGCCAACCCAGTGCATGACATTGGCTACAAGCGTTCTGGCTCATGAAACATGCTCTTGAAGAAATGCACTCCCATCAAGGATCATCTGAAAGCAAAACTGGATGATTCAAATGACAATGTATGTACCAACTGACTGAGGAAAATCTTTGTGGTTCCTCATATGTTTCTGGTATGATTTCCTTGGTGAGACTTGGCAATGGTTTTGACTTATCTAAACTTGTGGCTCAGATGTTTATGTCCTGACTTTTAGCGGTGCCTTGATTCTGTCCACTCATCCAACAGGTTAACAGCACTTGAAACATTGTTCAAACTGGTTGATAACAACAACCAGTGTAGAGTTGGGACGGAATATTTCTAACAACAGGATTTCCTTGACATGCTTAAATATTAATTGCTCACATCTGTGACTGCATATGTCTGTAACTGCATGCAAAATGTAACGGCATCTCTGCGTTCCTGACACACAGAGGGGAGCTCTTGGCTCTTGGAAGCTTAGCTGGAAGCATAGGACATACAGGAGGAGATAACGTCGGAGAAATGGGGTGGAGGAACAGAAGATAAGGAGGAGGGAAACAAGGTGTCTAAAAATACTTGAAGACCTGCTTGCTGACTAGCCAAGAGTAGAAGCAAGGCACTACAAAGACAGTTCAGAAAATCTGACCTTTTATGTACGAGATATGTATGAGGAAGCAAACAAAAAATAAAAATGGAATAGAAAAATATCCAGTTCACTGTCCCCATTGTGCTATGATTTCAGGAGGGGGGCTCTAATCATATCATTTTCTTGAGATGACTCAAACGGTCAAACCAAAAGAAAAAATAAGCGAATTAAAAACATTCAAAGTTTCAGTGCTCTCTCTTGGGCATAAAATCAAATGTTACTCAATTCATTTGCAGTTCTTTCAGGAATAGCTTACAGAAGAGTAACCCAAAGTCCTCAAACCTTGAGGAACTGAGCTACCACTTGAGTCTTTGTTTTTAGATCCACACAGCACCATACAAACGAAAACAGACTTTAAATCACATACAAAAGGCATATATGACTTCAAAGCTTCTGGTGGGATCCCTGTCTTCCTAGATTTTTGGTCCCAGCCCAGCTGGGACAGTGCATTAGAAATTTTTCTATTTCATTTTTACTTCTTTTTTTTTCTCAGCTGTGAATGCTTGTTGTGTAGAGTTGTGTGATGAAAGGGCACTAATGGATAGATGACACAAGCAGTCAAGCTGCAGAGGGGGAAGTGTTATTTGCTGCAGGGCTTTTCTCACCAAAAAACGTCACTAACAGGCCAGTTTCCCTTAAAAAGTGCCTTGATCCGTTTTGACTCTCCTCTGTGCTGTCCTTCCACAAAAACCGATCTGCTGGCCAGCTGTCTCCAGCAAGCAGGTTAAAGGAATAAGGTAGAGGTAGTAGTACCCGAACACTGCAAAGGGTGTGAAGTCCTGTGTAGACAGACGGAGCATTAAACGGGAGCTGGCTGTGGCATCTCCTCCTCTGCTCAGGAAACTGGACAGCTCTTGCAAGCCGTGTGTCAAAACACAGGCTCTGGGGAAGAGAAACACTGATCCCTCATGTCGCAGTACTCTGAAAAAGAGGCTGTTAAGTGACATCACTGAAGCATAAATGCAGAAATTAATCTTCAGAATAGAGCAGCAATAACAATCCCATGAAAGACTTCCATCGAGTTCATTAGATACGGTCTCAGGCTTCACGCTTGAACAAACCCAAACTTCAGATCAGTAACTTCCAGCAGTTGAAAGGATGATGATGCCTGACTGTTGAATTGCACTCTCTACTACCCACCTAAGTTGTTCTGATTTTCTGGGTTTGTCAGATGTACTTGATGTCTGAATTAAAAAAATAAAAAACAAAAAAAAAATAGATGGCTATATTACCTTTCCACGGTGCATGAAATGTACACCCTGTAAATGAAAGAGAAAGTTACTTTTTCTTTGAAAGGAACCCTCCCTTTAATTATGTAATTAAAACAAGAGAATGCAACACCTGTATGCTGTATACCGTCTCTTCCTTTCCATGAGCTTTTCCCCTTCACCGACGCACCTATGTTGTCTCCTTTGGAACAGCTCACAGAAATCCCTCAGTCAAAACCGCACGCTCGATACGCCGTTTGTCACCGCCGGCATCCGCAGCGCTCCAGCTGAGCACGCAGCCAGGCACCTCTTTGCGTCTGAACCAAAAGCAGCAGCATCTCGGATGCCCCAGACCTATGGAAAGGGGTTTTGGCCGGACTCCGTCCGGGAGGAGCGGGGATCCCAGGACGGACTCGGGCTCGGAGGGCCGCCTGAAGACCGGCCGCCGCTGCTCTGCAACTACAACCAGAAGCCTCCCAGTTCAAACTCATGTCCGAATAAACAAACGGGCAAGGCAAGAGATAGGAATAAACGTGGGCATCTGTCCTCAGGAAGAGAACCCTTTTTCTTATCATCTCCCTTAGAGTTTCACTTGCATTGGCGATCAGATATTTAGGTTTCAGCACTAACCGGAACAGTTACGAGCCCCATCTCGGACTATTAGCAAAAACCGTAGGACTGAAGGGTTAGGGGAGGCCTGAAGGCCACCCCAGCCCCGGCGCAGGGCACCCCGCGGCCTCCGC